AAAAAAAGTATTATCAGTGTTATTTGTCTCCCAAAATAAGTTTAATTTAACTTTTTGCTTTTTGGTTTTCGATAACGTGCTCGGATAAGAAGTGCAGCAGCAGCCCCCAGGAGAACACCAGGTTTGCTCCCTGAAAACAACTCAAATCGCAAAAAAAACCCAAAAAAAAAACAACAAAACAAAAAAAACAAAGTTAAAAATCTGCAAATATATCAAAGCAATCTCTTAGTTATGCTCTATTACTTACTATTAGTATTGCTTTCCTTTTTTTTTATTTTATTTTTAGCTAGTAGAGAATTGCGAAGCGAAACTTAAAATTACAAGCGAAATCCTGTCGAGCTCGGCACCGAATCATCCGTGATGCTTGGATCCCGCCTCTCAGCCTCTGTACATACACCAACTCCCAGGTAGTGCCAGTGTCAGTCCGTGCATTTGTGCAAACATAAAAAAATAAAAAAACTTGCTTACTGGATAAAAACAAGCAAAAATGTACAACTTTTGTACGGGTAGTTCCTGCAGGAGTACTTATTTTTCCGTTTGGTGTTCCACCGTAAGAAGGACGTGAGGGGGGGAGATACGGGAGAGAAATAAGAGAGAGAGAGAGAACAGCTCATTGCTTAAGACACTGCAATACTCAGATCCTATGGTAGGCTGTTCTTTCTGCTTCTACAGCTAACATAAACCCAAACTTTCTTACCCCGCTGTCATGTGTGTGTGAAACTAAAGACGCAAGTAGAAGTGAAGAAGTTGCTGGGTTGCGAGAGTTAAATGAGGTGATGAAGCTGCTCTGGCACAGCCTGAGGAGGAGAAGGAGGAGGAGGATGATGATGATGAAATGTTCCCCTCATTGGGTAAAACCTCTAAAATGAAGTTTTGTCCGTTTCAGCACCAACAAACATGACCACTTCTTCATTTTCCGTTCAGCTTCCTGAATTGAAACTTCTCCAACCCATCTCTTTTTTCCCCCCTTCTTTTTAAAATTTTTATTTCTCAAAGTTTGTTTTTTTATTTGAAATGTAAAAAAAAAAAAGGGCATTTACTTATTTTTATTTTTTTTAACCAGCATTTATTGGTGTTGCACTTTTTGTTTTTGCACATTAACTCACATCTATAGCAAGGTCAGGTAACAGCAGGATTATATCCGAGCTTCAGGAACAAAAACGAGAGCACATATCAAAGCTACACTGGATGAAAAGATGAAAGGGACGACGCAGAGAAAGTTTTTTTGTTTGTTTTTTTTGTTGGTGAGGATGTTTGCTTGGTGCCTCCGTCTCTGCGCAGAAGGGCGTAGTTAAACTCTGGCCTACCAACCAGCAGTTCGCCCGCTAACACGAGAGCAGAAACGGAGGTGCCTGCAATAATTTAATCTCCGATCACAGGTCAGGAAACCTGCTGGTCAGGGAGTGCTTAAAGAACCCATCATAGGATATAAACCATGCATCTATGCATTCATTAGGAGATGGGGTGGGGGAGAGTGCTGCTTTTTCATATGGAAGGACATCAGAGCAAACATTTTCACCCCCAGTGGGTAATTTTCAG